GAGAGAGAGAGAGAGAGAGCGAGAGACGAGAGAGAGAGAGAGAGAGAGAGCAGAGAGAGAGAGAGAGAGAGAGAGAGCGGGAGAGAGCGAGGGAGAGCGAGAGAGAGCGAGAGAGAGCGAGTGAGAGCGAGAGAGAGAGAGAGAGAGAGAGAGAGAGAGAGAGCGAGAGAGAGCGACAGAGAGCGAGAGAGAGCAAGAGAGAGCGAGAGAGCGAAAGAGAGAGAGAGAAGAAGAGAGAGAGAGAGAGATAGAGAGAGAGAGAGAAAGAGAGAGAGAGATAGAGAGAGAGAAGAGAAGAGAAGAGAAGAGAAGAGAAGAGAAGAGAGAGAGCGAGAGAGAGAGAGGGAGAGTGAGAGAGAGAGGAGAGAGCAGAGAGAGAATAGAGAGAAGAGAGAGAGGAGAGAGAGAGAGAGAGAGGCAGAGATAGAGGCAGAGAGAGAGAGGCACAGAGAGAGAGGCAGAGAGAGAGAGAGGCAGAGAGACAGAGGCAGAGAGAGAGGCAGAGAGAGAGAGAGAGGCAGGGAAAGAGAGGTAGAGACAGAGAGAGGGCAGAGAGAGAGAGAGAGACAGAGATAACAGAGAGAGCAGAGAGAGAGGCAGCTCAGTCACACTTAAATCCAGATTTGTCCTCACCGAGTCCCACCACCAAGGGAGCGCCAGCAAGGAGATGCACATATGGGGATCCCCACGCAGCGAATAATTTCTGTTGTGTTTCTGAGTTCTGTTGGGGTATTTGCATGTTATCGCACAAGATCCCCCTGCAGGGGGACAGGCCCGACCTAACACGAGCCGCCAAGAGCCCCCCGCGACGACCCAAGCGGTCTCGGGTGCCCGGCCTCCCGGCTCTTGGAGGCGGCTGGCCAGGACTGGAGGGTGCAAGCAGGGGTCTGCAACAGGGGGTCTTCAGTGGGGTGATGGCCCATGTATGCTCCATGTATCGTTATGTTGGGCGTGTCCCCCTACAGGGGGATTTCCGACGACAAATAAAACATACCCTAACAATACCCCAAAAAGGGCAAAAAATATCAAACAAATAGTCCCCAGACTATTTTTGTATTATTCTTTGCTTATTTTCAGGGTATTTCACATTTTTTTCGTCGAACATCCCCCCTGTAGGGGGACGGGCCCGACTTGAATGTTTCGCTCATGAATGTGATCGGGTACGATTGGCAGCCAATGTTGGCGGTCATGGAGGGCCAGTCGTTCGTGCCCGCGCGTTTGCCCGCGCGGGCCAGCGCGCCGTCCATCCGTTGCCGCTCACGCGCGCGGGCGTTCGTGCACATCGCGCGCGGGGCGGCGAAGTGGAGCGCAAGCGTGTCTTGATTGGGCGATTGAGGGTCGCGTATGTTACTCAACGATGACTTGTCGACCCCCACAAAATATTTGGAATGGGTCCAGCGATTCTCCCAACATGTGAATTCCATCATTCTACTTTTTGTTTTTCCAACATATGGATTCACATTTTTCTTTTGTCCCAAATTGTGCATTCACGTCCTGGCCCCTTCGTGCAGACTCCTATACAAAAGTCTAGAATGTGAATTCAACTTCTCCGTTTTTCCCAAATGTGAATTTACGTTTTTCTCCGAAACGTGAGTTCACATGTTGCTTTCCCACACCATGTGAAGTCACATTTGCACTGGCCTTCAATGTCCCCAAAACTGAGGCGCAGTTTTCCGCATGGTAGACGGGCTGGGCAGATTTTGACACTCACGTCACCGCTTTCGTTTATTCCAATACTTTGTTCTTGCGTCCTCAGCGCACGTTGTCTTCGTCGCCTTTCCCCTGCCCCCCGCCTCCTTGCTTTGTTTACCCTCAAGTCTCGCGCATGGGTACAGGCGGGGAGCTTAAATTGGTTCCCCCGCCGAACACAGCAATCGAGGATGTATCGCCCATGCGTGGCCCATAGAGATACCATTGCCGGGAACCTGCGCCCGACCCCCACACAGTCACCTTCCAACAGGACCACCGCCAGAAGGCAGCCTGCGTGAAGCCCCCAAGGGGCCTCCAAGATGCCACCAAGAGGCTTCCACGTGTAAATCGTTCAACATCAGGAGGGGGAGAAGCACAGACACAATGAATCGTCGACTCCCAGGACAATATGGGAAAAGATGGGAAGCAGGGGGCAAGACGAAAACCAAGAACATATACGAAAATATAGGGGATCCTGGGATACGTGTGTATTTACTGGTGTCCCTGGGCCCTTGCACAATGACCAATGGGGCCTTCCAGGTTCTGAAGAACTCGCTCGCTCGCTCTCGAGGGGCTGGCCTCTCCGGGCTGCAGGCATTTTCCAGAAGCCCCGAGGGGCTCCCGCAAGGACAGGAGAGGGCCCCGAGAGAACTTCAGACTGATTCCAGGACCACCCCTCCTCTCCAACCCCCTCGAACGCCTCCGAGGGGCTCCCCGAGGTGCGCAGTCGGCCGGATGTTCCTGGAAGCCTCTCTGGGAACATCGTGCCGACGACCACACTGACAATGCTGATGCTCATTCTGACAATCGTGAGGATGATGGGTAGGACTATGGCAGTGACGAGGTGCAAGATTCGCGTATCGGTGTTGGTGATCATGGTGATGGGAGTGAGAATGAAGATGGCGGTTCGGATGAGGATGTGAATCAGGATGTCGATGATGATGATGAGTCGGGTGATGATGAACATGATGATGCTGATGATGAAGATGAGTATGCAGATAAGGACGAGGATGAGGATGATGCTGCTGCTGATGATGATGAACCGTGAGTTTGAGGCGGCGGCATACTCAGCAATATTCGGCCAAGCGTGCTCCCCACGATGTTGTTGTTGATGATGATTATGGGCATCGTGATGATCAGTATGATGACGATGCGTAAAATTATGACAACGTGTATGAGGGTGAGGATGGACATGCGAATGAGGATGAGGATGGGTACGACTACGGTACGCGCTTCTGCATGGTAGAGCTGTTTGAACTGTTTCAGCGCCCAGCTTGCGCTAGAACCTCAGCGCGTGCGAAGCGCGCGATGTTTCTAGTGTATATGTTTATGTATGTGTATAGATGTGTGTGTCTATACATGCATGGATGTACATGTATATGTATGTGTAAACCTACACATGTGTACACGGTTGTGTCTCTATATATACATGTAGATATATGTGTGTGTATGCAAAAGATATGTCTATGCCGATTCTGAGGCACACATATTTTTATATACGCATAAAATGACAGAGTTTGTCCTCATGGTTGTCCCGATGCTTGTCTTGATGGTTCCCCCGACGGTTGTACCGATGTGTGTCCCGTTGTTTGTGTTGATGGTTGTTTCGATGATTGTCCCGCAAGTTGGCCGGATGGTTGTTTCGATGGCTGTCGTGTCCCGATGGATATGTTATGCGTTTCTTTGTTTTGTTCCTCTCTCTCTCTCTCTCTTTCTCGCTCTGCCGCTCTCTACCCGTATATACATACAGTACGTATGTATGTATGTATATATACACACGAATTCATGTGTGTACGCAAGTCTCGGATATTGGGGGGGGGGTAGCATCGAAATGGAATGGCGTTACCCAACGGGATCATAGATTTTGGTTTCAGTTCGTGCCTTGTGTCGCGCACGTGCAGGCGTGGCGAGGCGAAGCTGCGCGAGTCCCCGCGCTAGTGTCTCCCCGGCCCAGGCGCTGTCGTCCCGGCCCAGGCGTTGAGTCGCGGTTGGTTGTCCCGATGGTTGTTTTGATGGTAACCCTGATGGTTTTCTCGATGCTTGTCCCGATGCGTGTCCGATGGTTGTCCCGATGGCTGTCCCGATGGTTGTCCCGATGGTTGTCCCGATGGTTGTCCCGATGGTTTTCACGAAGGTTTTCACGAAGGTTGTCCCGATGGTTCTTGCGATGGTTGTCCCGATGGTTGTCCCGATGGTTTCCCCGAGGGTTGTCTCGATGTCTGTTACAATGGTTGCCCCGCTGGTTTTCACGAAGGTTGTGACGCAGGTTGTCACGATGGTTGTTCCGATGGTTTTCTCGAAGGTTGTCGCGATAGTTGTCCCGACGGTTGTCCCGGGGGTCTTGCGAGGCCATGCTACCATAAAGATGTCTTCTGCGAGGCCATCATGAAAATGCGCTTCGCGAGGCCCTATAACCAAAACGTGCGCCGTGCGGGGCAAACAAAAAGCAGTCAAACAGCCAGTGCGTCCGTCGGGAAAGCACCACATGTGTTGTACAGTGAGACAGGTCGATGGTTTCATACAAGGACATAAGTGGTGAGATGTTGAGATGTATAGGTATGGGTATCTCGACATAACAGTCCATGGACATATCGATATATGGACATCTAAACCATTCCTCCCGATGGTTGTCCCGAAGTTCGTCCCGATTATTGTTCCGATGGTTACCCCGACATACTGATGGTGACAGCGGCATACAAGTGGAGAGTGATGTTAGCAGGTAGACAGTGAGGCTGCTAGACCCTGAGACCAATAGGTCGATCGTAGGCAGACAGTTATCGAGTGAAGCATATGTGCAGGTACATTGGGATCCATGGAGAGGCAATGACACATATCTATATCTGTATATGTGTATATATACTCATATACGCAGTCACTTATATCTATATGCACATACGTACCTGTAAATCTGTGTATCTGTGAACACACATGTGCGTACATCTATGCACATATATATATGTGTATAGATACACATCCATAAGTTCACGGGTTTCTTTTTTTATACGCGTACATCTTGATATGCACTCATACCGCTAGACTCGTTGATGAACATTCACCTTGATGTCTCGATGTGTGCCCACTCGTGAATTGTATTGCGTGTTCAATTCAAATCAAAGGTGAACTCCCCCCCCCGAAGCCTCCTTACATCACCCCGAGGGTGGCTTGTAAGGTAATTCGTATGAATTCGTGCTCTCGAGCTCGCTCCTGCCCGGCTGGCTGGCGCAGGCGCGTGGTTTTCCTCGCTGCGGCGCGGGCCTTTCCCGTGTGTCGCGACGCGCCGCGCGCACCCCGCCGAGGTCCGAGCATGTCTGATGACAGGCGCCGCGTGGATCGGATCGACTCGGCAGGAGGACGCGTCAAGCACCTCAGCGCCGTCTGGGGCGCGCCCGTACGGCGCGCCACAAGGAAGGGGGGGAGGTGGAGGAGGGACGTGGATGAAGAGAGGCATCCTGAGATCCGAGTGCTGCACGCCGGGGCCTCAGGGGAGCTCGAAGGCGGCGGGCTGGTCAGACGCCGCCCTCGCGCGTGGTCGCCTGCCCGCGTGCGCTCGCAAGGGCGGAGGGCGGGCGAGCCTACGTTCGCTGGGCGGGCCAGGCCGAGGGTGGGGCGGTGGAGGCGGCCACTTCGCGCCCTCGAGCCCGAGGGGAGGAGCAGGTACCGATGCCGCTGCGCGTTCTGGAGTTAGGTCGGGCCTGTCCCCCTACAGGGGGATTTTCGACGAAAAATTAACAGTACCCCAAAAATACTCCAAAAAGGTCAGAAAGTAATCAAAGAATAGTCCCCATATTATTTTTGGATGATTTTTTGATTTTTTTGGGTTTTTTTATTTCTCGTCGACAAATCCCCCTGTAGGGGGACAGGCCCGACTTAATTCTGGAGGGCCCTCGTCACCACGGCTGGATTCGCCTCGAAGTCCTGGTCGGAAGGCACCCCAGGAGAGGTCCAGGGAGTTGCGGCATCGGTACCGGTTTGTCCCCCCAGAGCCCGTTCTCGTTGGGGGGCCCGGCGGGGCAGCAATTTTCCTGTACTCCTAGACTGCAGGCGCCTCGCTGGCCGCTTCTGAGCTCGCACTCGACGGGGTGAGCCGCAGTTCGTTCTTGCCAAGTCAGCTGCGCTGACTATCGAAGACGCCCATGGCGAGTCACCGCCGCCCCCTGCCTTTTGGACACGTCTATGTGGCCGAGCGTTGCGGCCAGAGCTCGGCCACGCTATCTGTCATGTGTTATGCCAGCGGTTGTGGAAACTATACCATTCTGGGAACGCGTGGGTTAAAAAGAAGAGGAGGAGGAGGAGGAGAGGGAGGAAACAGAAGGAGGGGGCGGATGAGGAGGAGGAGGAGGACCAGTGTAAACCCAAGAGTCATCAACGATGTTGGAATCAACCCTCCTACAAGCTCCCTCTTCTTAGACTCCTACAACGGTTCATTTCCATTGAGGGAATTACCTCGTTGGAAGGCAACCGTTTGAAGATCATTACTCTCGGGATTTCAACGCCACGTCTCAACCTGCGTCTTGACGATCCAGAATCTTGCCAAAACGCAATTTTTGGCATTTCAACACTGCGAATCAACATAACTGTTGTGCCCGCATAATCCTGAATCCGTCCAAAAAAGTTATTTCTTATACGCTGATCATGGGAACCCGTGAGGCTCTTGCAAATGTTTACAACGAATGTGCGCGGCGCTAACGCCAGAGCCACATTTTGAAAAGGCACCGCCCTCAACCCGTGAAGTTCTTGAACATTTTTTAAACGAGTGTTCGCGGCGCTTAGGCGAAAACCACATTTCGAAAACGACCCGCCCTCAATCCGTGAAGCTTTTTTTGTTAGAGAAAAAATCCTGGCGATGGACCCAACCATATGCAGTTACGAGTACCGCAAAGCAGGTTGAACGAATGAGAGGGAGCTCCCTATGGGGCCACGAAACGTGTGAGGGGTGTGCCGAAATGGGTGCGGTGCCGCCATGCGGACGCAGCCACTGGGGCCCTCGGTGGAGCTCCCTATGGGGCCACGAAACGTGTGAGGGGTGTGCCGAAATGGGTGCGGTGCCGCCATGCGGACGCAGCCACTGGGGCCCTCGGTGGAGCTCCCTATGGGGCCACGAAGCGTGTGAGGGGTGTGCCGAAATGGGTGCGGTGCCGCCATGCGGACGCAGCCACTGGGGCCCTCGGTGGAGCTCCCTATGGGGCCACGAAACGTGTGAGGGGTGTGCCGAAATGGGTGCGGTGCCGCCATGCGGACGCAGCCACTGGGGCCCTCGGTGGAGCTCCCTATGGGGCCACGAAACGTGTGAGGGGTGTGCCGAAATGGGTGCGGTGCCGCCATGCGGACGCAGCCATTGGGGCCCTCGGTGGGGCTCCCTATGGGGCCACGAAACGTGTGAGGGGTGTGCCGAAGTGGGTGTGGCTGACGCGGAGGGGGAGGAGGCGGAGGAGGAGGAAGGAAGGAAGGAGAGGAGACGCGGGGCACCGTCTCTTCAAAACGAGGACCCAACACCACAGGATGGTTGGGAAAAAACAACAAACAAAAACACGAGTGTTCGCAGAGCTAAGGAGAGAACCCGATTTCGAAAACGACCCGCCCCAAATTCGTGACATTTTCACACTTTGCTAGAAAGAATGTGTGCGGCGCGAAGGCGAGAGCCACATTGTGAACACGACCCGCCCTCAATCCGTGAAGCTCTTGTGTATGTTTAAAACGAATGCGCGCGGCGCTAAGGCGAGAGCTACATTTTGAAAAGCACCCGCCCTCAATCAGGGAAACTTCTTGCACATGTTTCAAGCGAATGCGCGCGGCGCTAATGCGAGAGCCAAATTTTGCAAGCGACCCGCCCTCCATTGCCACGTTTTAAGCTTCAGAGTCTTAAATGGTGAGGAAGTCTCAGGCGAAACGCCCGGCCCGCCCTAAAAACGGGCCTCGGGGTGCGACAGGGAGAAGTTGTCTATAAGGAGAAGGAATGGAGGAGGCCTCTTGAGAGCCTCTTGAGGCACCCTTTGAGCCTCTTGGTTTCTTCCTGGGTGCTTCTGTGAGGCTTCTTGGGGGCCTTTTGAGGCTCCTTGGGAGGCTCTTCGGCCGTCCGAGGGCGTTCCTGGCTCGTCAGAAACCGTCCTGGGGCATTTTTCGGTTAAGTTGGGGCTCATTTGGGGCACTTCAAGGCCGTCTTGGAGGCCATCATGGGTGTCTCAGAAGTGTCCTGGACAGTCTTGGCTGGGCCGTCGGAAGGCCAATAGCGAAGACTTTAAGGGGAGCTGCTCAGCTGTATGAGCAAGCTGGGGCGAAGCAAGAGCTCGCGCATCCGCTGCCGTTTATGCTCAGGTGCCGACATCTGGATATGACACGTCAGTGCGATTGCAGTTTGAGTGGAGGAAAAGGTCCGTATGTATCCCTACGTCGTCTCCCATGTCGAGCCTCAGCCCTGCAGTACATCTTCGACTTGGTAGCGGAACTGGCTACACCCTTGTGTGGCTGGCTCTTTTGCTTCTTATTTTCGTCGGCGCCATATGGATAACCAATATCAGCTACCATGCGCCGCCATCCTTCTGGGGAACGGAGCCAGGAAGCTGGCGTGGGCAGCCCGGCAACCGACTGGTGCTCGGCAAGGGGCATGAAACTCGCAATGGGTCTACCACGACCTCAATGCCACCTCCCACATTCCCAACACAACCTCTGATATATATATATATATATATATATATATAGATGTATTCCCAGGCTCTACACCATTATGTTCCACATTACCAGTACGATCAGCTTGGCAGCAGGGTTTCATTCGTTGGTCTACCGCGAAACCGCGATGCTAACCATGGATACGTGCAGCCACAGTCCCTGCGACGCTTAACAGGAGAACGCAACGTTCAGAGAACATAACAACCCCAAGAGCCACTGGCATTTACCCAGCATCTTAAGGTTACCTTATTGGGAGTCAGATGGGTGGTCTTTGGACCAGGTGGGGGCTACATGCAGCGCGGTGCAAACAACGTTTCATTCACAGATGGACCTCGTTGGGATTTTGCGGGGACCGTACCCTTCAGGACATGTCCAGGATGTCCACACGTGGCTTAGCGTCAGAAGCGGCGCCTCCACACCACAACGGCAAACGGCCGCCTTACAATAAAGCCTGTTTTTGGTTTGGCCCGCGCCATTACAATGCGTATCCTCACACATATCATCAACTACGGAGTATATGTTAGCTGTGTGAGAGCAGCTCCTTTTCTCTACTTATGTACGTGCTTAGCGACAAATGTGAGAACCTATAGGACGAGCATCAGCTAGACTCGGGTACCCGACTCATTGAACTCCGTGTGCCTGCAAGGGAACGGATCGAATTAACGTTCGCTAAACTCAAGAGGGCCAGGCTCGAGACACCAGCAGTTGGCTTCGACATCCCTAAGTTCCAGATCCTGGCCACCATACTGTCTCGAGCCCCTCACGTCGGGACAGTACGACTTCTACTGGTGCAGCCACTGACGCACAAAATACCCACGACTCAACTGGAATATGACTCCCTGCTCGAACGGATACGTTCCTTCGGCCACCTTGCCGACAAAAAAGGCCCCCTGGGAACATTGGTGGAGGATTTGTCTTCGAGGACCTGGCGGCGCGTCGCACCGCATCACCTTCCAAACCGACTATGCCGTCCTCAGGATTGGCGAAGATATGACCAGTGGCCGCAACACATGGCCAGACAACCCCACAAAAGGCACGGCCCTTCTTAGAGGCCAGGCCATTGGCAGCCAGGCGCTTGTCAGCAACGGCTCGGCATGGATTCCAGGCACCACCACCAGACAACCAATTACGACCCTTTGGGGCCAAACTTGCCCAGGTGAGCCGCCTTCATCCATCAGCTTTGGCACGGCGACGGATACACAAACGCCGGAAAGAGTTAACACCGGTCGGTCGGTCAGACATACCAACACACCTTACCGACGAGCACAAGGCTGGATTGTGTATTTTGCCAGGCGTCATGCGGAGAGGAGGTGGAGGAAGTGAAGAAGCCTGCACGGCGTGTGCGCAGACAAATACGACGTGCGATGCATACAAAGGGACGCAGCAACGGCAAAGGTGGAAAGAGGAGGAAATTGCACGGCGAGGGCATTGTTTCATTCATCACGTCCTTTTCTCATACAGATTGTGAAAATGGCCAGCCGCATGCTGTGCAATGCGTGCGCTCCCTTCGGCATTGCGCATCGCTGCGCATGAAGATGACGCGGAAGCGGGGCGAGGACACGGCCGCTCATTTGTTCAGCAGTCTTTGAGTACGTCATTTACGACCAAGTCTTCCCTGAAAAGTAGAGGGCGCGCAATTCGATTATTTTCACGTACATGGATTGATTCGGTGAATTCGAAGACAACATGTGGAATATATACGATTTGCTGGGTGTATACTTTCAAGCGCCGACCACCTTCGAGCAAAGGGCCGGCTTCGGCAACCCGCCCAATGGGCCTGGCGCCGAGTTGGAGCATGACGACGCGTGGGAAGATGATGATCGGCTCGTAGACTGTGACATGCTTTCGGCCTCGGCACCGCCGTCGTCCCTTGTATCAGCGATCCCGTCTACACATGAGGAAAGCAATTCGTTCCTTGGCAACGAGCCAATGCCACAGGTCATCGGCGAAGTGGCAGCATCTACTGAGGATGCCGACCAGCATCCCGTCAATTTGGGAGGTACTCGCGTCGCCACTCACCTTGCTATTTACGGCCAGTAGACGTGGGCAGCATCTCCAGCGCCTCAAGGTGGATTTGCTTCGGATAAGGACACTGCTGAATTTTCCACGGGGCAGGGGGTGCGAGGGCAGCGCCAGGGGCAGCGCAGGATCACGAGGACAATATGATGCCCGGCGCTGGGACTGCGCAGCGCGGGCGGAGCGCAGGCGCCAGGATGATGCGCGCCTCTTCCCAATGTCCCGAGGATGCAGGCGCTGGTCGAAGCGCAACGTTGTCGGTGGTCGCATGACCTGCCGAGCTTGCTTCTGCAACCCTGTCGTGCACCGATGAATTGCAAGATCACCGAGCCCCACTCGACATGCCGTGCCCTGG